ACATATATAAATGTGGAGGACTATTTGATAAATAAAAAAGTTCAACTCCATTTTGGAGTAATGAGTTGGTTTACTCCATATTTGGAGTAATCATGTTTGTTACTCCATTTTGGAGTGAGTTTTGGAGTAGGGTTGGAGAAGATTTTACTGCAAAATGGAGTTTGGAGTGGGTTTTGGAGTGGGGTTGGAGATGCTCTAATCTAAGTCATACTGCAACTTGGATCTCCTTTAAAAAACTGATAAAAAGGTTCTAATTGTCTTTGGTTGCAGAAAAGTAGAGACTGATAAAAAGCAGAGGAAGTAGAAGAAGAAACTTTGTCTATATGTAGAAGAAGAAGCTAAAGTGGGGGTGTTTTATAACATGGGAACAGAAAGAAGAGTTAGAGCGAAGACCAGTTAGGATTTTTTTTACATATCTCTATTAAAAAAGGCGGTTATGGAATATGCCCAATATGCAATAGAATTACAACTAAGTACTAACCTCAGACAGCATCGATAGGCAGAACAATACAATTTCACTCAAACCTTATGTTTTAAGTTTTTTTTCGTCTGTTCATTGATGATGATGATGATGATTGTTTACCTTTTTTACCGGGTCACAAGTGCTGGTTCTCGACAACGCTACTTCAGTTGTGCCAATACAGATGAAAATCTTTGCCTCGGTTTATCCGTTCGCTGAGTCTATCCTTTCTTCTCTAATAGAACTCGATATGCAAATTAGCGAAGTCATTCTTGTGTTCAAGTTACAACTAGGCCTAGGCGTTTGGGGAAACCCCTGTCGAATTTGGTTCTGGTTAATTCAAATTTTTGGTACTGTACTTACAAATTCATTCCAATTTTATAAATTATCATGCTGGGTTAGGTTTTTTCTGGATAATCATATTACGACGAATATATAAAATCGGTCAAAATAACATTTTAGAAAAAACTAAAAAACTTGACCAGAAAATGTTCAAAATATATAAATTGTTTATAAATCTAAACAAAACCAATTTAAACTACATAAACTAACTAAAAAGTACTGAAATTAAAAAATAATGAAACTACATAGAAACCTTTAAATTATTATAAAACAATTAAATTATCGTAACATATATAAAATAATAACATATTTCACTAATTTCAAATATATTTAGATCCAAATTTGGATTTCGGTTTGGTTCAAATTATACCCAAACTACAAAGTACCAACCTCTCAAATCCCATTCAAATATTTCGTGTAACGATTTGGATCTGATTTTGATTTTTTGGTTCAGATTAAGATAGGGAATTCCATCTGGTGTAGAAGCGCCCATGCCTAGTTACAACAATAACATAGAAATGCAACAAGAAACAGATTTATGCACTCTCAATATCTCTATGGTCTTTTCCACTTTTAAGATCTTTTTACCATTTGTTTTTTTTACCTTTTACAACGCATGACATTGCAGCTAAAGTTTGTGTTCTTCTTGGCAACAATCTCCAGCGTACAATTAAACAGATAAATATCAATCAAAAGTGACTTGAAAATCATAAAATTATGGTACCAATCAAAAGTAAGAATTAAACATATTAAAGGTCATTTGTTTAATGTTGAGATTTGTACTACGTGAAAGATTTATTTGGTAATGACGATAATGTTACGCTGAGACCTCACCGTTCAAAAATCGCTAGCGGAGATCTTGGTCCACATACATTCTCCTCACTTGCTATCTTCGTTGAAAATTTTCCCCGTGCTATACACAGAGCCGTGCCTGGGTACAAGCCCATCAAGCATTTGCTTTGGGACCGGCGTGGTTAAATACATTTTAGGGGCCAATTTTCTTAAAACTTGTCTGGTTTAGTTGGTTGTGGGGCACTCATTTGGTCAGTCTTGTTGCGTGTCCGATCTACCACCATGTCAATTCTGGCCAAATAATATATTAAAGGGCCAATTTTTTTTTTTTGCTTCTGGGCCCCCAAAAATCAGGCACGGCCCTGGCTATACATTTGAATAAACAAAATGTTAAAGTTAGATGATGGATTTTAACTGCATCAACCGGCTAATCAAGTAAAACCTCTGTGGCTAGAATCAGTATCAGAGATATGTGTAAACATTCAGACACGAGCCAAATGCGAGAAGTTGAGTAGACAAAGAGCAAATTGTTATACCGAACTCACAACTAAACGGAATAGCAACACTGACAGGCTCAGGACAAACTGTCGCAAGCTTGAGAACCCATAGGGGGTTCGAGGCGGCGAAGGATTTGCACCATAAGAAGGGTTCCACTGATGTTGTTGTGGTTGTCCTTGTGGAGGAATATAGCAAGAGGAAGCCTGAAACATGTATGTAGGAAACTATAAGAGAAATCAAAATAGTGGCATCTAGGGGAATAATATAATTTACTTTAGTATAAGGAACTGTCTGGGGTTTTGGATAAGTACACCTCGGGAGAGTCTGTTGTTGGTATGCCTGTGAAGTATTCACAAATAAATGATTTCCTTAAAGATCAAATGCATTACATGTGAGCGATGATTAACAAATCATGACTAGGCCATGCACTATCACCAAACACAATCCAAACACACAAACAATACTATAACATATGTTCCCAAACCCTCAACCAAAGAATATTTTCAATCAATTTACATTCACTCAACTATGTTAAAAACAATTCAATTTTATTAAATTTAAATTTACACCACTTACCAATTTCTATAATTAGATGATTATGATTTTTAAGATATAATTTTTAAAATTTATAAATTATTTTTAAGATATAATACATGAGAAGACTTTGGAAAACTTTCTGAAAAAATTATTGGAATACTTAACGGGAAACCTTAATTTTTTTAAAAAACTAAGTAGGACATGGTAGACTATGTTGTTAAGTCTTCCAGAAAGTTTTCAGGTGCATTATTTGATTTTGGTAAATCTACCAAACCCCAAAATCAAATATTTAACTAGGTCATAAACAAAAATTTCATTAAACTTAAAATCAACTTGTAAAGTGTTTAATATATATATACAAAACTAAACACATATATATCAAATTTTGTTTAAATAAATCAGATTCCACAATCTAACCATAAAAAACACGTAGTACAATACTATACCAAAGTTACCAACCCGCAACCAAAGAATATCATGACTCAGTTTCCATTCACTCATCTATATTGAAACTATTCAATTTTAGTAAATCTAAATTTACATCATTTACAAATATCTATAATTACATGATTGGAATATTTTTCTAATCAAAATATTATTTTATTAAATTTATTAATTATTTTTAGATTTACTGTACTAATCACATAGTTATAATAGAAAATTTCAGTACTGATTTTTTTGTTTGTTCATAAAATATGGTTATAATTTCACTAACCTGTTATTTTTGAATTTGATTGAAGTTAGAATACATCTTTGCATTTTAGATCAAGTTTTTAGTACAAATTTCCCTAAATAAAGCTATCCTTTTTAGTATTGAACTGAGTTTAAAGAAAAATACACAATGCACATATAACATCAGATTTCGTGTATCTTGCTTTATTTCATCATGTTTAGTAATCGAATTGCTTGTTTACCTATTTCTTTGTTTGCATCTAACTAGTTTTGCTCCAAGAAAAACAATAAATTTTTATATTACCTTAGATTAGGCGTAATTAACATTATTTTTTTCCATCAAACATTAAACATTAGCTTAATTGAGATAAAATAGAAAAATATTATCTCACTAAGAAATAATAACATAAAAGAGAGAAATTAATTATGAAAAGAAGTCTCTAGCATATAATATATCCACTATTGATTATGAATAGCAGAAAAAGAAACAATGGTTAAAACTTTTTATTATGCACTAGGGGAGCCCGGTGCTACACGCCGGATTTCGATGATAATTTTTGTTATCGATAACTTCGATGATAACATATGTTTTAGTTAAATTTAACTTAATTTTATGGTCTTCTAAAATAATGTATTCGCCTAATATATGAAGACATGCATTAAATTCTTTTCACTCATGCAACCTTGCTCCTAAAATTATTTTAATCGTCAACAAAATTCCAATATATGAATAATAATATATTAGCATTTTTTATCAGAGTATTTTGTAACCTTTTGTATTCTATTTTTGATTTTGAAATAATTTGTAATAATTGCATACAGTGCTTCCACATTTTACAAAGAGAGATATGTATACTTGCTAGACACATCTCATTTAAATAAAATAATAATACAAATTTAACTTGGCAAGAGAATTGGAACTTGGTGGTCCTGTGCAGTATAGATGGATGTATCTTTACGAGCGGTATATGTATCATCTGAAGAAGAAGGTCAAAAATTTAAGTAAGGTCGAAGGTTCTATAGTCGTATAAATGATCAATGAAGAAACTTCAAACTTTGCTGAGTCCTACTTTCCAGCCGAAGTGCAGATAAAAAATAGAAGACCTGCGCGTCATGATGATAGGGGTGAAAGAGCAACATATTATGTTACGGTTCCAAACATCTTCACAGAAAACACACGGATTTGAGATTTTTGTACCGAAAACACCTTATTACGGTGTTAAAATATAACAATAGGACCTAAATAAATATTATTAACTGTTTTAAAGAGATTATGAATCCAAATATTTGTTTGGATCGCATTAATGAACTTTTTCTCGATTGTATACCGATCTTCATACAACGTTAGAGAAACACTTAACACTTTAACCAACGAGAACGATAATACTTGTAATCGATTTTGAAATTTTGTAATTTCATTTTTTATGCAAATCTATGGAAAGAATCATGAATGCTATGTTTTAAACAAGATAAAATTGTGCAAGAAATTATTTAGGGTCTTAAAAATCAAGGTTTGGAAACCACAAACTAATATTCCTCAGAATTTCCTCGGAATATTCCGAGGAAATTCCGACGGACCTAATCCGACCAATAGAAAGACATGCAGAGAATATTCTTGTCTTGGAACTCGATTTTGACCAATTAATTTTAATTCTGAGGAAATTCCAACGGAACTTAAAGTGGTCGTCAGAATTTCCTCGGAATATTTTCATTTAATCAGGAATTTGATCCGCCAAAATTTTCGCGAAAGTCGAATCAAGTGATTTCCGACGGAATTCCGAGGAACCTTTCCGTCGGAATGTTCTGATAAATATTAATCACGGTTTCTTCTTCCCCATTTCTCCTCTCTTTCTCTAAACCATTGCCGACGCTCTCTCTCCTCCCTCTCGATAATCTCCGACGATTTTTCCTCAAAATCTCATCAGATTCGTCCTCAAAGATGTAAGAATCCTATCCCCTTGACTTAGGTTCATTTTGATTAGGTTTTGTAATAGATTTGGTGATTTGTATGTGTGTTGATAGATTATGAGTTAGGGTGATTGGTAGATTACGAGTTTGATAGGTTAGGATTATGATATTGTTAGGATAATTTGATGTACTGAATTGATTTGTAAATTTTTCTAAAGCTTTTTTTTTGGATTTATAAATGATTTTTATATGTAGGAAACCTATTTTTCGGATTTAGTAAAACTATTTTCGGATTTATTAAAACTATTTTCGGATTTATTAAAATTATTTTCGTATTTATTAAAACTATTTTTAAATTTATAAAACTATTTTTGTATTTATTAAAACTATTTTTTATTTATTAAAACTATTTTTGTATTTATTAAAACTGTTTTTGTATTTATTAAAACTATTTTTGTATTTATTAAAACTTTTTTTGTATTTATTGAAACTATTTTTGTAATTATTAAAACTATTTTTTTGGATTTATAAAAACTATTTTTGTATTTATTAAAAAATTTCTGGTTTATTAAAACTATTTTTTGTAATTATTAAAACTATTTTTTGGATTTATAAAAACTATTTTTTTATTTATTAAAACTATTTTTGTATTTATTAAAACTATTTTTGTATTTATTAAAACTTTCTGGATTTATAAAAGATTTTTATATTTAGTAAAACTATTTTTAGATTTATTAAACTATTTGTAAAAGATATTTTATTTATCTTTTTATTTTATTTAAAATAATTTAATTTTTTTCAATTTTTGCAGGTCGGATAGCGATAGCCAGGCGAGACCTCGCCGCCACACACCACGAGGTCGAGATGTTTCTCGGGGTGGTTCGATGGGCACCTCTCGTGGTTCTGCATCTTCGCAGAACCAATATATCGGGGATTTTCCAGCTCCAGCTCCTCCGGTCATTCCGGGTACCATGACTGTTGAACAATTGGTTCAACAGCCTGGTCGAGAGCATCTTCTCACTCTCACTCCGCATCCATCGGGCCCACACCAAACATGGTAATATTTTTTTTTAAAAAAATTTTGTCTTTTTTTTCCATTATATGTTGCTTGATTCTTAATTTTTTCTTTTCAGGTTTGATCGATCGCAGAACGGGATAAGTTCCTTCATCAATCAGATGATGTACTCGGCGCTCAAAAAGAGTTATCCTACCTACACCTCCTTCCCCCGAGAGGATCAGGAGATGTGGTTCCGTCAGTTTGCGGTATGTATTTTACAATTTTTAAAGTTATATTTTTAATCTTTGACTTAAATTTCTACTAATTGTGTTTTTTTCAGCAAGAGTTCAACTGTAATCCCCTCCATACGGCCTTTATCGAAAATGCCTTCACCCATAAAGTCATGGATAATTATGGGAAGCATGTTTATGAGTGGAAGCAAAAGTGGAAGAAGGGAAAAAAACCGAAATTGATCAACGACACAGTGTGGCTCGAGTTGCAAGAACATCGGGGGAAGACAGAGACGCAAGGAACCTCTGACACCAATTCCAGCAACCGCAATAGCGACCGAGGCGGGAAGGGTCTACAAGAACAACTTGGGTGCTTGCAGTATGTCAACTCTTGGGGATAAGCTAGTAAGTCGACTGATTTTCTTTACCTATTTCATTTTTTAATTTTTAATTTCAATTTTTAAATTTTAATTTCAATTATTAAATTTTAATTTCAATTTTAAATTTTAATTTCAATTTTTCAATTTTAATTTCAATTTTAAAATTTTAATTTCAATTTTTAATGGTTTTTATTAACAAATGTTTTTTTTTTCCAGGCGGAACAAAATGATGGTGAGCCGGCTGACTCCCTCGTGTTAATGAAGGAGGCGTATACCGACAAGTCGACCGGAGAGATTTCGGATGCCGTTGTGACGGAGGTGATCGACTTGGTCGAAACCCAGAAGGAGGAAGAGATCCAACGCCTCTCTCAGCTTCAGTCTGACGACGACGGCACTACTGCAGCTTCCCCCAGCCTTCTCGAGTTCGAATCAACGAACTTGTTGAGTCGGTAAGATCTTTATTTTAATTTAATGTTTTTATGCGGTTCCGAAGAAGAAAGACCGTTTGTTCGAGTTGGCTTGTCGCTCCAAGTCAGTTCCTTCTACTTCAGAACCGGCTTTTGTTAATCCGGCAATTATGGAGCAGCTACAAAACAAGGATGACCGTATCGTAGCATTGGAGAACCATAATGCCACAATTCTTACCCAGAACGAGACCATACTTGCTAGGATGAAAGTGAAGTGGAGGAAACGAAGAAGAAGAACCAGGAGTTGTTGGATATGATGCGACGTCTGTTCCCGCATGAGTTCTAGTCAGTTTTTTATTTGTTTTTTAAAACTTTATATTTCTACTTTTAAAACTTAAAATATTATAATATGTTTTTTTATTTCAATTTTAGTTTTATATTTTCAACTAATTATTATTTAAATATTTGTTAGAAATAATTAATTATTATTATTTTTTTTTTTAAAAAAATAGGAATTTCCGAGGAAGAACATCCCTCGGAATATTCTGACGAACGTTTCCTCAGAATATTCCGACCGTTGGTTCCTTGGAATATTCTGATGGACATTCCGACGGCAATGTCCATCAGAATATCCCGAGGAACCATCCGTCGGAATATTCCGACGAACTTTCCGTCGGACATCTTCTGATGATTATGTCCGACGAAGTATCCGTAGGGATAATCCGATAGAAAGGCTTTTCTCGGAATTTCGTCGGATTATTGGTCCATCGGAAGTCTTCGTAATTTCGTCGGTGTGTCTGACGAAATTCCAAGGACATATTATTTTCCGACGAAATAATTTCGACGACCATTTTCCTTGGAATATCATCGGAATAGTCTATTCCGACGACATTCCGAGGAAAATGACCCTCGGAATATCGTTGTTTTCTTGTAGTGTTAGTATCCTTTTCATATGGTTATAGAGTTGTGTTGCTTTGTAAATTATACACGTGACCAGTTTTTATAGAGATCAGCGTATGTGATCAGTTATCGAGGATATATGATTGACAGAATAATTAATATTTAGCATCTGAGTGAAGCATCTAGAGTTTATAGAAAACTAGGGTAAACCCGCCCTACGGGCGGACGGGTAACTAAATAAACTAATAGTGACCAAATAATAAGAGTATTTATAAATATAAATATAATATGTTAACATTTACTTTTACTATTTGTTTTGGGTTTTTGGATGCCATAAGAATATCTCACCATTAAAAAATTCATTGGAAGTTAATTTGTGTACATCTTTTCTGAAAATTGTTGATTTTTTGAGTTAAATTAACAAAATATTATATTAGTGTCATTTAGATTGATTAACGATTCTGAGCATGTATTATAATCTGGAAGATGCTTACCTTGATTGGCTAAGGGGGTAAAGATAGCCATGTTGTCTTATGGTATTTATCGTGGTGGCCGGTTACCCTCTAGTTTCCTTGGATTATGTTTTTATTCTGCCGCCATTCACCTGTTAGTTGTCAATATTATAAACTTGATTCATTGTCGTTTCATGTTTAGCATACAAAACAATCATGATAGAAGATGCCTTTGCATCCCAGCAGTATATGTGTACCTAAGTATCATGATTTAATTGACAATATTATAAACTTATTCATTGTCGTTTCATGTTTAACATACAAAACAATCATGACAGAAGATGCCTTTGCATCCCAGAAGTATATGTGTACCTAAGATGAGGATTTAGAGGCGAGGCTTTGAAAAAGGATTAGATGAATTGCAACTGGGGTAGACAACAAACGCTCCACATACCATGGCATGTGTCTATTGGCTATGTGTGTGGAACCAGATTGTTCCTTCTTCGACCATAAGATCAATACTATAAATAGGATTCTTTCCTGGTCTGGTTACAAATACAACTAAGTTAACCAAACTGAAATACAATTGATGCTACAGAGTTGAACTTTTTATAGGAGTTGACTTAATATTTCTACATTTACTCCAGTAATTACATTGTAGTAATACTAAAAGAAAACCTTAAATGAATTTCTTAAACACAATAGAGAGAGAATAATAGAACTAACCATTGAATATTTCTAGTCGTTTTTTATTTTATTTCTAAAGCATGCATTACAACTATGAAATGGTACTTTCCACCAAAAATCAAACCACAAATGTTCCTGCAACTTTGCATATTTAGTCACAAACATGTGTATATATAGATGATGCAAACAAAAAATTTATTCGTGCCAAAATAAACTAACATTACAAAGATGTATTTTAACAGTCCATCTTGGTGATTCTCAACGAAAAGCTTGACTAAAAGGCAAATGTGGATCCCATAACTTCATTATCATCATTGTCATAACGAATGCTTTTTTATAGTTTTGTTTCTGCTTTCTCTTCTTAACCTGCCATTTGAAATTTATTTATGTGCTTTATATTAACAAAGTATACATCCATGTGAACTACCCTAAAGATTCCCCAAAGATTAACAAATAATTTGGCTCTCTTTTATCTTTTTCAATCAGATCAAATTTACCTGATACATCTTGTTGATGTAAACGTGAACTATTTTCCAGTGGAGATCACTTGCAAAAGTAACAAAGCATTAGTCAAAATATCCAACTAAAATGTAAACTAAATAAAAAAGAAATGATAATCTTTATTACTTCGGCGAGCACGTTTGAGAAGCTCACAGACCCTTGCTAGCCATTATCTGCTACCATTTCCAAAGAAATTCTCCTCTTGTATAAGTTTGCCACTGTGACTACTATTTGAGCTTCCACTGCTACCGCTATTAAGTTGATGCAGCGTTCAGAAGTAGTGAGTCATTTATCTACTGGAATAACTGATGCAATGTTCAAGGCTTCCTCTATAGACCTCACTTTCCATGTCGCCACTCCTCTTAGCACTGTACCAAATACCCAAACATTAACTTTAGTCTCTTCATAAAGTATCAATTTGAGCTAACCCCTAATCTGTGAACTCTTACATTTCTGCATTAAAATAAGAACTTTAGCCATGATGATTACACTGTCAAGATGTATTAAGCATGTCTCACATAAAATACCAAAGATTCTGGGTTTTTTAAGTTACTAAACACGTGGCTATACCGGCAGTGAGTGACATGATGTCTCTGGAATTACAGAACAGTGTTGGCGGAGCTACAACATCCACCATCAGCAAATCTATCCACATCAACTCTCCTCCACGGCGAGGATTCCTGGCCTCCCAGAACCGGAGGAGGCGGACCTCGACGGCGGAGGAGCAACGCCCAGATTTCAGGTCAGAGAAAAAAACCCTAGACATAGTCATGAGAACGAAAATCTATTTAGAATAGTTGGAAAAGAACTGGAATGATGAGGAGAAAGGGAAGGAGGTACCTCTATATATACACAGATCTCCACCGACTTCAAACGGATCAGTGAGTATTGATTAGAGATCGTGGGTGTGGGTATAATTATCGGAGAAATCTGTAACATATGCGAAGGAAGAGGAAGCGACGATGGAGTGAGGAGTTGAGTGGTGGTTCGTCCATGGCGGCTGGTATGCGTAGCAGAGGGGGAACCCTATTTGGGAGAGAGAACATGGGAATCGGGCCGTGGGCCGTATGACGTAATATGAAGCCCGTGTTAAATCAAACTTGAGAGGCCCAGGATGACAATAACACGTGGCCACTTTCTGAGGATGTATTATCCTACGTGGCTTTACCATGAGTGAGTGAACTTTAGTTTATAGTAATAGATTTGATCACCTTACTACATTTGATGTTGCTTAGTGGCCACTGATTAGTGGAGAGATTAGTGAGTGTCAAGGTACTTAGTATAGAAGATGATATTTTTGGAGTAGATTGCAGTTTTCTAGTCCCTTGCATGGATTCTCAAGAATGGAAATGATAGCTGGGTCATTTTGTCTATATATATAATATAAACTAAAAGGCAAAAATTAATCTATAGCAAGTTCAAGTTTCAATACATCCTTCTTTGGTCATATGATACTGAATCAATTTCTGCAAACACACACTTTAAAGAGGTCATGCAGAGTAAATTTCATTTAAAACCAAACACGGAACGAATTGAACATCTGTTTTTTTGTTCGAGAGCTGAGGGAGGATTTGAACTGTGTTTACCGCAGTCAGTAGTTACGACTACAATAACATTATTCATTAATGTCACCTTAGACAAGATGGGACGGGAGAGCCCAATTTACAATAACATTACTTACGATGTTTATGTCAGAGGAGAAATATAATAAGAGATCAAGTGCTCCAGTTGCGAACACGAGTATTCATTAATGTCACTTTATACACAAACTACATCATCTCCTAAGATGTGTGGTCCTTGCAGTCTTCAAGATTAGTCGGGATCTCAATGAAAAAGGGTTACTTGTGTGACAAGAAATCTAATTCTGCTCCACAGACAAAAAGAAATCAAATCCTTTGTATAGTTTATTATCCATACACTCTTGTAACTCAAGTTACTCATCTCTAGTTTATCCATACATAATGACCCACTTCTATGTATTTATCCTCTCCAACTACGTGTGTGATATGATGTACTTAAAGATAAGAAGCAGTCTACTAATGATACAAAGCAGTGTTCTTGGCAACTTATTCACTAATTTTAGGGATTATTTAGTGAACGTGGAATTGGTTACTGCATCGAAGAGAACGTGAGTGATCCATCTAATAAGTCGAGTACGCCTTAAATTAAAAGATCCTCATTCCAGTTCCAAGGAAGAAGTCGATCAATATACATGACGTTGTCTCAGGGCAACGAGACAAAGGTTCTGATGTTGCCGTAAGGTAGTAATAGCAGAGATATGGAGAACCAAACTGATAATGAAATCCATGAGATAGACAAACAATCAATCTCCCTTTTGTAATGAGAAATCACAACATTCTTTGTTAAAATGTATCTTCTTTGAGCCTAACTCATCCCACTCCAAAAAAATCAATTGCTATATCTACTTACAATATTGATGGAGGAATTTGTATATCGTACGTAATCTACAAAACACAAAATTATGCAGAAAATATCAATTTGTTCAACACAACTTTGTGTGCTTTCTTTATCACGTAATGTATTTCTCTTCTGTACTTGATTAATACGAGACATTTTTCTCGTTTCAAAAGACTGTAATTCGAAATAAATCTGTTTTAGTGTAAGTGTCAACTTGCGAATATTGAAGACATCCACATACTCCCATCATGTGGCAAAATCTGTTTCTTATCAAAGACCAATATCGTGTAGGCTACGTATAGCACCACAGGCCCAGAAGCCCAAATTTTCAGCTGAACCCAAAGAGAATAAGCCCACAATAGAAGCGTTTAAAATGGGCGAGTTTCATACAGACAACACTAGGGTTTCGTTTCGTACACACACAGCAATAGGTTACAAGGGTTTGAAAAGTTCTGAAGCACGGCTTTGATCTCCAAGTTTGCTTAAAGATGATGAAGAGGAGACTCTTGTTAAAGATGATGAAGAGGAGGAGAAGGTCATTGATAACACGAAAAGTGAAGAAGAGAGGAAACACAATATATCTTCCCGAGGATTTGCTTGTGGAGATACTCTCTAGGGTTCCAGAGACTTCTCTGGCAAGGTTCCGGTCTACCTCAAAAGGATGGAATGCTCTCATACAAAGAGATGGGAGACTTGCGATGAAGAACTCTCTTTTTGTCATGTTAATTTATCGTAAGCTCTATTTAGTTAGACTTAATCTCCACGGCATTCATGACAACAACGGTGAAAAGTTGATAACCCAGTTCAGCCTCAGTGACCATCTTTCAACTTCTTCTTTGAAAGAAGTCGATATACGCTGCGTATTTCACTGCGATGGCCTATTGCTATGCACCACCATGAACAATAGACTAATTGTTTGGAACCCATGTTCAGGGGAAACCAGTAGGAATATTATCAAACCCTTAAAACATTACATTGGTTTTGATATCTACGCTCTCGGTAAATCCTCATGCAACAACGAGTACAAAATCTTGAGGGTTATATATCATTTAGGATATGGTTACTGGCCACCACGCCTTGTTGAGTACGAAATCTATGACTTCACATCTAATTCGTGGAGGGTTGTTGGTGAGACTAGAGACTGGTTCATTCCAGGGCCCTGGCAAGATGGCACGTGTGTGGATGGAAATACTTACTGGCTTACTTGTACTTATTCTCCAACGGGGATGAGGAATGCTGGCTTACATTGTTTTGATTATTCAACAGAGAGGTCTGGACGTGTGTCTCTTCCGGGTGATCCTCTTTCTTATAATGTCTTGTCTATATCAGTGACTAGAGAAGACCATAAACTTTGTCTCTTAACTTCTTCTCGTGATGAGAAGGTACACGAGATAGATGTATGGATGGCAACTAAGATTAAAGGTACCGGAGACATGTCATGGAATAAACTCCTGACAGTGAAACGAACCTATTCACAGCAGTTTCTTGCGTTTCGTAGTGGGATGAGTTTCATGGTCGATCGGCAGAATAAAGTTATAGTGCATCCCACTAAATATAAGAAGTCTAGTAACTGCTTACACATTGTGGGAGAGAATTATAAACACATAAAAGTGGACTTTCATGTTGTAGGATCTACTCCATTCAGGTCTACTCCAACTTTGGTTCATATCCAACAAGGTTCTTTGGGGGTAGCCACATGGAAATCACCAATCACCAAGTATTCATGATATTTTGATCTATTAAAATGTAAATCTTGCTACTCCATAATGTTTTAGTTCCCATACAATTCCAGTTACAATATTTCTTCTCCGAGTGGAACAAAAATTTTGATATCTCTTATTAAATAAGCAAGTCTTGTCCTTAGTAATCAACTAAGGACCACTGACGAAAATTATGGTTTTTTTTTTTGTGATAGATCTTGAATGATCTTAAGAACTTGGACACCTTAATTAGCTTTTGTTTCACATTGAGCTTAGTATCCTTTTTCATATGGTTGTCTTGCATTGTAAATTAGACATGGATACATTACGTTGTCCCATCCACGCCCTACTAATCATTGTAAAGCTATAGCTGAATACGAGAAAGAAAAAAAACAGATTCGTCATTGTTCTTAATGCGTACACCAAGACCAGTGACGTATAACAGAGATGAAAGAAAAATCATCTTTAATTTGGGTATATAGAGAAAAGGATTTAAGCAATCTGTCAGGGAATATATGCTTTACTTTTTTTTTTTTTTTTTTTTTTTTTGTAACATGAATATACGCTTTACTAATCTGCATTTTGAGGGTAAAAGAAACCTCTATATTAACAGAGATGAAAGAAAAATGTTTAGAAGTTTTCCATGGCCTACATCATCTCCTAAGAGGCTAATAATGTCTTGTAACAAACCCACGTTGTCCAAATTTGATTAAGCGTTCCATCCATTGCTTGGATATGTATCTTAATTGTCCCTGAGAGTATTATCTCGACGACCAAATCCTCAAGAACTGTGCTCCTTTCCCTTCATCTTTTCAAAGCTAACAATTGAGATAACTTAGAATCTCAAGAAACTAGAGTTACTCCGCGTGACAAGAGGCCTAATTCTGCATCACAGTTCGTCTGGGTAACTAAAAGAAATCCTTTGTATAGTAAATACACACATTCTTGAAACTCAAATTAGTTATAAATAACATATCCATAGACCATGATGATTCACTTCAATGTATCTATCCTCTCCAATTATGTGTATGATGTTTCTTAAAGATGGGAGACTTGCTAAGAAGAAGTCTACTAGTGATACATATCAGTCGTTGCATCTCCATGAATGGAATTACATCCCCCCCCCCAACATTTATTAGACTCGGAACCCGTTATTTCAGGATTGTTGTGTTTACCCACATTTTGTAACTCTATAATACCACCATTTATTAGACTCGGAACCCGTTATTTCAGGATTGTTGTGTTTACCCACATTTTGTAACTCTATAATACCACCATTTATTAGACTCGGAACCCGTTATTTCAGGATTGTTGTGTTTACCCACATTTTGTAACTCTATAATACCACCAATGGCACTCTATATTTTATACTAAAATAGTGTAAATCTATTTAGAATTGGATTTGCTACAATGATTTACTTTATTATAGAATTACACAATTATAGAGTAAACTATAAAGAGATTTTATTTTTTCACTCTATATCACATATATATTAATCCTGGAGCATTGTAATTTTTATGTGTAGCCATGTGTCATCACTAGAATAATTCTTAAAGTTCTTAGGAAAATAAGGAGAAAATGACCGTTAAAACCACGAATTTTCAAATTAAAGCAAAAAAAACCTTCAACTCATGTTTGAGCCAAAATAAAACCTAACTTTTAAATATTGGCCGTTTTAACACTCATATTTTGTTGACTTGGCCATTTAAGAAACCCGAATAGTCAACTGTTAAACTCGATTACAAAAACAGATGTATGTAAATTCTTTAAACAATGTAATTTTGAAAACTGATTAAACATTAGTCAAGCAAAGTCGTTTTGCTTTTGTAGACTCGTAAAGCATATTCGCAAAACCAAAACCCCAAATCGACTTCATCTTTCCTCATTTCGAATCAGGAGGATGAAGTTAATTTTTGACTCTAGTTTCGCGAAAGAGATGTTATAAGTGCTTAAAGATGCAAACCAACATTGTTTGACTGATTTTTTAAAATGACATCGTTTACAGTGTTAACATACATCTATTTTTAATCACGTTTAAGTGTTGACTATTCGGGTTTCTTAACTGGCCGAGTCAACAAAATATGAGAGTTAAAATGACCAATATTTGAAAGTTGAAGATTTTTTTTGCTCAGAAACGAGTTGAAGGTTTTTACGGCTTTAATTTGAAAATTCAAAATTTTAATGACTGTTTTAGACATAAATTATTAATTTTATTGGTCCATTTATACATAAATTATACTTCTTATTGAATTAACTATCAAATTTATTAGTGTTACATAAAATAATATTCTTCATTCCTTCTTTAAATAAAAGCTACTGAATTACCTAATATGGCTAACATATATATGACAATCAATGATTTTTAATAATAACAATTTGATAATAATTTTGGTATATTTCATCCTTTTGGTTTAATTTATACTATGAAAAACTAAACAATCACATTAACCAAATAATAAAAAAGAAAACATTTCTTATATGTTATATTTTGAGTTTTTTAAAGCGACTATAAATTATTAAAATTGTTAAAAGTCCTACAACGAATTTTTTTGTAAACAATGGTTTTACATTTTTGATATAAAAAGACAAATGATAACAACATCATATGAATATGAACTATCATTTAAAAGATATTCAAATTAAATATACATATATATATATACGTCAATATCGTTTTAATTAAACTATATACCATATAACAATACATATATGTTAATTTTAAAATTCCCTTGAAAGTGTATTACAATTTGAATATTTCAATTTTGAAATTTGCATTGAATCTTATAAAACGAGTAGAAATTACTACAAATATAGAAAAATCTCATACTGAAGGTTTTGTGATCAATGGTTTAGTTTTTTTTTGTGATCAAATATATAAATTTTAATAAAAATATGAGTAGGAACTAATAAGCTTCAATTAACTATTCGTATTTAAATATACTATATAAATGTCAATATTATTTAAATTTAAATATATACTATATAAAATAAATAAAAATGACTGCTTTGATTTATTTACTTTGATTTATGTAATTACTCCAGTTTAATTATGTATATAATATTTATTTTCTTCTCAATTATTCAAGAATTTTCTTTCAGTTGATCGAAACTCATATTTTTCGAGAAAAATTGCGCAAATTAAAACAAAGACAAAATATATATATGTGAGTTAACAAAAATGATGTCGTAGATTTAAACAGGAAATCACATGTGGAGAGTCAAAAAAGTCTGAGATCAACCAAAACATTAATTCCCTTTTCAATTGTAAGACATCACTTTCAATGTTTGTTATTTCTATATTTGGTAAAAGAATACACCAGAAATGAATTTTATTATGTATGTTTCAGTCACAACATTTAATTTATAGGATTTTTACGAAATTAGTTTATCAACACATTGATCCGATATGCATCATCATTATAATATAGGTCCACAACTGATAACACTTTTTAGATTTATGACATGGTGTAATTATTTTAGAAAGAACAAAGTTAAAATATATCGATTGTTAGTAATTAAAATTTACCCCGCGCATGGGCGCGGGTTATCAACTAGTATAAAGTAAAAAGATACTCTCTCCGTTTCAATTTAGTTGTCCTTCTAGGTTTTTGCACACAGATTAAGAAAACAATTATTTTACATTTCAAAATCAAAACATAATTACCTATACACCTAACCACTTTTCAACCAATGAAAAAAAGAATGACATTTAAAATCAATAAATTTTGCATTGAAATTATAAAACGATACTTATTTTGAAACGAAATTTTTACATTAGAATGACATTTAATCTGAAACAGAGGGAGTAACATTGCTCTATATTCCACTCTATTATTACACTATAATAGAGTAAACCATTGGAGCAAATCAAATTATAAAATACATAATAACACTATTTTAGTGTGGAATATACAAGAAATTATAGAGTATCATAGGAAATGCTCTCAAAGGAGGGGAATATAGAGAAACTAAAAAATTTTAGCTAAAAAAAAAAAAAAAAAAAGGAGGAACCAAACAACATTCTAAGACCACCGTCAAGAGAAAAAGGTTGTTTGTCATTTCAGCAAATTCCTAGGATCTTAGGTCATTTCTGGAAATAGTTTAGTTTTCCCTTCTCGATCACCTCTCATAGTGCAGCCTCAGTTACCCTCTTTCGACTTCCTCTTTGAAAGAATTCGGTATACGCTGCGTCTTTCACTGCGATGGCATATTGCTATGCACCACCATGAACGATAGACTAATTGTTTGGAACCCATGTTCAGGGGAAACCAGTAGGATTATCGAACCAAGAAGAATTCACAATGGTTCTGATATTTACGCTCTCGCCAAATCCACATGCAACAACGAGTAAAAAATCTTAAGGGTGCATCGACAACAAAATCCCTTCTTAAATTCATGCCTTGTTGAGTACGAAAACTATGACTTCACATCTGATTCGTGGAGAGTTGTTGGTGAGACTAGAGACTGGTACATTGTTGCAGGGCGACATGGCACGTCTATGGATGGAAATACTTACTGGCTTACTTATACTTATCCTCTAACAGATATGAGGATGGCCTTACGATGTTTTGATTTCTCAACAGAGAGGTTTGGATGTGTGTCTTTTCCGGGTGATCCTCTTTCTTATAAGGTTTATGGTTTATCAGTGACTAGAGAAGAGCAAAATCTTTGTTTGTTAACTTCTTCACGTGATGAAAAGGTACATGATATAGATGTATGGATGGCAACTAAGATTAAAAGTACCAGAGACATGTCATGGAGTAAAATTCTAACAGTGAAACGAACCCATTCACAGCAGTTTCTTGGGTTTCGTGCCGGGATGAATTTATCTGTCGATCGGGAGGCTAAAGTCTTACTGCATCCTACTAAATATCAGAACTCTATAAAATGCTTACACATTGTGGGAGAGAATTATATATTGAAATCAAACAACTCGAACACTTTGATATAACTCACAAAATAAGAACACTTCTTATTAATCTTCTCAAAGGGGAAACTATCACAAAATCTCAAGCTCTCACACATT